CGGTCCAATAGCCGCCTGAGGCTATAGCAGCCATCGGTGTCGTGGCCGACATCCTCGTGGTATTGGCAATACTTGCTCTTGTCCCGTTTATTCACGGGGCTTTTCATTTCAGCCGGTTTGTCGAGAGACATCCGGTCTTTGATTTCCAGGAGGATGGTGGAGCAATCTTTTGCGAACTCGTATTTGGGAGCATACGATTCTGACTTCCGCCTGATCTTCTGGGCCGGCTGTCCTGATCGGTCAGCTGCCCAGACCCCTTTTCTCTTTTCTTCCTTTCTTGCTGGCTGATGCTGTTGCCGGCTCTCTTTTTTGTCAGACTTTTTATAATCTGACGGCTGCTTGACAGCACAAAGCTCCGTCGCCTGTATATAGGCTTCAGCTTCAATTAACGCCTCTTGGAGGGTAGCAACCCTCTTCCGGACGAGGTCAAACTTAAAGTTCGACCCATCCTTCAGACCTCGAAAGAAGTCTGTATAGGCCACTTCGTCTGATAGTCCTGGAATCTGAATTCTCATCAGATTGAACCGTCTGACGTATGACCGGAGGCCCTCCCGGTCGCCCTGCTGTATTGCCCCTAGGTCGAGGCTAGTCTTTTTGGCAGGAATATTCATTGAGAAATTTGACGTAAACAAGTACGCCAAAGTTCGAAAGCTGTTGATGCAACCGGCTGGTAGGTTACCAAACCACCGCTGGGCTATGCCCTTGAGGGTAGCCGGGAAGCATCGACACCAGACGGCATCATCTAACCCATGGAGGTACATGAGGTTAGAGTAGGCCATTAGATGGTCTTCTGGGTTGGTGGTGCCGTCATAGGCCCCCACCAAAACATTCTTGATCTTAGGCGGCTGTGCCGCCTGGGTTATCTCTGGTGAGAACGCCGTTGGTTGTTCCCCCAAATTTAGCAGGCGCAGCTGCCAGTCCGTGGGTTGGAACGGCTGCTGCGCTTGCCCACCGAAAAGACCCGGTGACATAAAAGGGGATCCACCCAACCCATTCGGTGTGCCGAATAGGCCAGGCTGGATCACTTTGGGTCCAGACCGGGCAGAAGCTTCGCCCGTCTGGCTCCCAAGGTTCGTTCCCGTACGCCTGTGTGAGACGTCATGGAAACTGTCCGGGAAGGTCGACGTTGAGGCCGACGCAGACGCCTGACCTCGCTTCTCTTGGAGAAATGTGCGGGCGTCTGAGAATGTTTTCTTGGAGCCATCCGGCTGTACGTGCCGGATGGCCTTTCGCAGCTCCCCTTGAGGAAAACGGAGTCTGCTTGGATCAAACCTTAAGCCCTCCCCCTCCTTTGGCTTGGGATGAGGGGTAGGAACTCGTTCTTTGACCGCCTTCTTTCCAGAAGGCTTCTTGGCCGGCTGACCCTTCTTTGGAGTAGCTGACCGGATGAGGCTCTTGATCTCACCCTTGAAACTATTCATGAAAGACATGAGTTCGTTTCTTGTAACGGGGGCTGAGCCCTCCACCGTTTGGGCAATTCCAGCCGGTTGCCCGGCTGGGTTGATGGGAGCAGCTTGGCTGATTTCCCGTTCTCTTCTATCTTTAGCACGAGGGTGCTTCGTTCTGAAAGACCCATCCGGGGCCACATATGTTTCAATTTCGTCTCCACTTTCATGGTCCGTCTGGACCTCAGGCTCGACCACAGGCCGTTTGCCCTGATTCGGTGACACAGTATCAGAAGTCATCTTAGAAGTACTCTCCCCACAGACGGCGCCAAATGTTTCGGGGTTTTTTGATGTGTCCTGCGGGAGAGTTACAATTCCAAGAATGCCCTTCGACGCCTGTGCCTGCAAAATCACGAAGACTCCTGGGGGTAGGAGCTCCGCCTCCGACGATCAAGTTAGTAAAGATACGGGAGGTAGAATGCACGTAATGTAGAAGTTACTTCTCGCGTAATGGGAGAATTCTGCAATTAATATTGCTCGGGGTAAGTGTTTTTCTTTTTGAGGAGTATTCAATGTGAACAACAAATGTTCCAGCCTCCCATTAATGAGGGTCCTTCCACTATTTATAGTGGGGAAGGGATGGTTTCCCTTTTAGGGTTTAGAGGACACGTGTCAGCAGAGGATTGGAGCCCTGCTGACCAACGGCTGGATGCCACGTGTCACTAGGCCATTGGGCCACGTGTTTAGGGTATTTTTACCCCAAACAAATATTATCAATATGCCATTGTTAATTTATACGAATAAGGAAAAGAGGAGTGTTTGACGGATTTTTTTTTTTTAAACAACCCAATTAATAATAAATTAGATGAATTGAATATGGAAGGTTTAAAATTGATGCCTTTTGGGAATTACAATATTAATGGGGAAAGAAATTAGAGGATGGGTCTTGATAATTGCTATTTAATGGAGGTGAGAGAGGATTAGTCGTGGAATCAGCCTTTTTCAAAAATGAATAAAAATCAGTTGGGCTCATATTTTGGGGCCCTTACACCTTGGAGGCCCTGTGCTGAGGGGCTGGTTGCACAGCCTCTTAGCCGGCCCTGTCTCTACTCACCTTCCAAACCACACAAAAATCTAAACCATTTGCCTCCCTTTTGATATCTCGAATGGTCCATAGAATGTTGATGTCAGGGTGTTGTTGGTTATCAAGGATGCTGACCAGAATCGCAGAGTCCGAGAAAAACACTATTTACTACTTTTATGTACAAAACATTTGTACACTGTTGATAAATAATTATATATATATTCTTCTTTTATAAAATATTGCATAAAGTTTCTCACAAAAAAAATTATTATCTTGAATCAACTACAGAGCATATATAAATGACTTTTTAAAATTTTATGGTATAGTATAGTAAATTACAATACTTAATACTTGTATTAGTTGTATAAAGTATAAATTAAGCCTATGAAATATAATATACGTAGTAGTTAGTATAGTATGGAGTATAAAATAAGTCTAGAATCGGATTGATTTATATAATCTATTAGGAGATGCAAAAAATGTCCACCGACAAATAATAGGGCTTGATATAGGTGAACTCTTGCACAAGGCTGAAAGAATTCACATGTATTGTTGCCAAATTTTTTCAATCAATTCAATTCATTTATAATGGTATAAAATTTCTTCAATTTGTCGTATTTTCTTCATGAACCATTATTATGGCATGCAAGTTGAGTCTTTTCTTGGATCTCTTCCTCTTTTCCCTCCACGTAATTGTGTCAGGATATATAATGTCTGTCTTACATTCTTCATTGCTTATGATAATTTATTGTTCATAGGTTTTACTAGTATACACTTTATATAATAGTGTTGTACATGGAATTCAGTTGTTTGGATAGTTACTAGACTGCTGTGAAAAAGAATAGTTTCATGTCATTGTACATGGTAAAGCTAATGCCTGTCTATCTTCAGATGGATCCAATTATAAAAAAATATCATTATCGTACATTACCACTTTGGATGTGGTATATATAGGGTGTATTATTGAAAATTTAGTTTTACGAGAACTCCATATATATATATCTATTAATAAAAAGGTTTTTAAAATAAGTCTACATATCTCATCTATTCAATCCTTTCATTTTCAAATTAAATAAATGCACCATTTTAACTTTCGTATATGTCAATATCCAACTTAGAAATATAAGTAGTTAAACTTAATGATATTATGAAAATTTACAGTCCAACAATATTTTACATAATCACATATTACAATAAATATTAGATAAAGGTGGTAAATGACTCATTTTGATCGGTTATCTAGTAGTAATTACTTATTAGGAGTTAGAACATGTTGTTTAGATCTTATTTAGAATTTATTAGATACACCCGGGTATACCGTACCCCCAACTAACTCAATGTTAGTTTTTGCTCTTTATTTGATGAATAAATGAAAAACAATCATCAAAATGAGCACAAAATACACATAAATATATAGTACATCCGGATATACATAATAATCTGTGAGATCTTAGGGCCTGTTCTCATTGACTGAACTCAGCTGAACTGAACTGAGCTGAGCTGAACTGAACTGAATATTTTATGAGAGAAGGAAATTAGGAGCTGAGTTGAACTGAACTGAACTGAATTTCAACGTATGAGAACAGACCCTTATTCAAGTGGCTTAGGGCCTGTTCTCTTACGTTGAAATTCAGTTCAGTTCAGTTCAGCTCAGCTCAGTTCAGTTCAGCTCAACTCCTAATTTTCTTCTCTTATAAAATATTCATTTCAGTTCGGTTCAGTTCATTTTAGCTCAGTTCAGTTCAGCTCAGTTCAGGTCATCTCAGTTTAGCTCAGTTCATTTCAGTTCAGTTCAGTTCAGTTGAGTTCAATCAATGAGAACAGACCTTTAATCTTAACTTGGATATAACATACGTCCTCCGTTCTTTATTACTTGATCCGCTTTGACTTTTACACTATTCACCACCCCTCCTTTGACCGTATTTTGTGAATAATATGTAAGGAAAAATATATTCATGTATGATCTTTTTGGATTCGTCTCAATAAGTACCATCATAATATTTAACTTTTATATTTTTTACTTTTGGAGAATTTAAGTTATTGATTGTTAAAGTTTTGCATTGACAAACGTGATAAAAGAAACATGTCAAATAAAAAAGAACAGAGGAAGACAGCTAAAGAAATTCCCTCAAATATTTTTTTTTATAAAAAAAAATAGGTAATTGTACGTCACGGGTTTCTTAGTTGTGAATACCAATGCAACTTCCTCATCTAGCATGGGTTTCATCTACAACAACTCAACAAGTAGAGAATCAATTTTAGCAATGTCAATGATTCCTTTTTATCTTTACTGTCCTTACTTTAATACATAATGGCTTAAATTAATGCAAAGTCGTATTTTGTGAATACCATTTATTCATGGTTTCAAAGATACCCATTTTTAACAATCAATATTACTTGAAAATTACACATAACCTTAAAAATAATCCACTAAAATTCATGCAAAATTTTGTCTTCCCAAAAACACCAATGATAAAATTTACCATACCTTTAAAAAATTAAATGTTGTATGCAAGCCAAAGGGTCACATATAAGCATTAAGTACATTTTTTTATTTACGGAGTATCTAGATACAATATAAATTTAAAATTTTACGGAGTATGGCAAAAGCAGGCACATATCAATATATTTATAGCTTAGATAATCTAAATTTTTTTTAGCTTCTAATATGCAATTTTGTATATAGCAATTTTTTTTTATATTTTTTTATAAATTAAATTACGGAGTACTATTTATATTATTCTCTTAGTTTCATTTCAACTCTCTTTTGATTCTCTCCTCATTTGATCCCTCCTCTAGCATGGCTCTCACCCTCTCAAAATCTCCTCATTTTTTCTTGATTTTATCTCTTATCTTAATAATCTTCATACAATTTGTAAACTCCTTAAACAATAACAACAACAATGAGATGAAATTACCTCCTAAATTAGAATTAAAATCTCTATGTAAAACAACACCTTACCCAAATGATTGCTTAAACACCCTAAAACTAACCATTTCCTTAAACCTCCCATTAACCCTCCTAAACATCCTCTTACAATCACTTCAAAATGCACTAAGTGAAGCTACTAAACTCTCCTCACTTTTTGATGCAACAACTAACTACAATCTCATTGAAAAACAAAGAGGATCACTCCTAGATTGTAAGGAACTTCACCATATATCACTTCTTTCATTACAAAAATCGGTGTCTAAGGTAAAAACATCTAACCTAACCGATGCTAGGGTTTTCCTTAGTGCTGCACTCTCTAACAAGGAAACTTGCCTAGAAGGCCTTAACTCGGCTTCCGGCCCTTGGAAGCCACTTCTAGTGAGCTTCATTGCTAACACTTACAACCATGTTAGCAACTCATTGTCCATGCTCAAAGATGACCCTAATCAACCATTGTCACCCTTGTCGTGGTCACCTAATGACTACGACGAGGGTGACAATGGTGGTGACGATGATGGTGGTGGTGTAGGATATGATGATGATGATGATGATCTAAGTGAGACTATTATTGTTGCAGCTGATGGAAGTGGGAATTTTACAAGTGTACAAGAAGGGGTTGATTTTGCACCAAATAATAGTGAGTTTAGGACTTTTATATATGTAAGAAAAGGGGTTTATGAAGAGAATGTGGAGATTCCAAGTTATAAACCTAATATTGTTTTGCTTGGTGATGGAAGTGATGTTACTATTATTACTGGTAATAGAAGTGTTGCTGATGGTTGGACTACTTTCAGATCAGCAACTGTTGGTAATTTTCTTTTACTTTAACTTTTTTCTTGAATTTTATATATGTTTTGATGATCAAATAATCCTTTATTTAATTGAAAACTTAGACCAATTATATACTTGGAAAGTACATACACTTAAAAGAATCCTTGGATTTTTTTGTTCTTAGACTAGGTTAATCCCGTGCGATGTATGGTTTAAATAATTAAAAACATACTTGTATGTGTGCAAAATAAATATTTTTAGCAAAACATAATAAATCATGATCAATCCCTTTAATTAGATTAATCAAACTTAAAAATATTCTAATTAATTAACTTCGTAGTTATAATAAATTTTTTAAAATGTTAGCATTTGTTTTTGATTCAATATAGAAAATTTGAAGAATTAATAAAGAGGTTAAAATAATCCAAACTCTACTATCACTAATAAATTGTGTGATTAGCTATTTTTGTCATGAAATCTTTTAGAAAAATGTATAATTAATCAATAATTTTCAAATATCAGCTTTATTTTGAAAAAGAGAGAGAGAGAGAGAGTGATGTCACAAATAGTTTAGGAGGAAATTTTTTTATAAGAAGGTGACACATGTACCGTGGTGATGTCAGCGGCAATTAGTTTATTATTTGTTATAAATAGATTGTTATGTTTGAAATATTTCATTTGTAAAGCAAGAAACTTTGATCATGATTATTCATCGATATCAATATATATATATATATATATATATATATATATATATATATATATATATATATGGAAAAAAAATGTCCACCTGAGATCTAGCTAAATATATGTGTCTTGTTGTATATTTTCATAACACTATATTTTGTGTAATTTAGTGACACGTGATTAAAGATATTGTTTTTCAAAGATATACATTAGAAACTATGAAAAGTCAAAATAAGACCAACAATATGAAACTTGGAGAGTATAAGAATATCTTGAGTATGGTTGGATCCACACAAACCCCTTGTTTAATTCACTTAACTAAGGATGGGTGGTAATCTAAATTAAGACCTCCACGAGTGAAAAAAGGGGTGGTTTCTTCATTCTAGAGTAACATCCTTACAACACAGGTGTCTTAGTATATTCAAATTTACTAAAGTAACGAATTTGGTGAAAGTATGTGTTAACTTAGGTTCACACACCTGCAATACATGCATACACAAACAAGTTTCATGTCTAGTGTACACAAACAAGTGTAATACACTCTATGAAATAACACCCAACATGTTCCCAATGTAATCTCGTATAAATGCGTGCCACATTTATATATACGGAGTATAAATTAGTATATGATCTAAAAAAATATGGAAAATTTTGCAAATTGCAGCCATTTAAAGTTCGTATTTTGCAAATTGCGCCCATTTAAATTATTTTTTTGCAAATTGCAGCCCAAAAGTTCGTATAAATTGTAAAATGTAGTCCGATTAATTTTTTCATCGGTTTACAAGTTGAAAAATATTCGGCTAAAGTTTTAGGGGTCATTTTAGCCTTTAGGGGCCCGAATTGACATCGGAATTAGCAAAAAAATAACGTAAGAAACTGTAAATATGAGACACTTACGTTATTTTTTTGCTGATTCCGAGCTCAATTCGGGTCCTTAAGGGCTAAAATGACCCCTAAAACCTTAACCGAAGATTTTTCAACATGTAAACCGATGAAAAAATTGAATCGGGTTGCAATTTACAATTTATACGAACTTTTAGGCTGCAATTTGCAAAAAAAAATTTAAATGACTGCAATTTGCAAAATACGAACTTTAATTGCTGCAATTTGCAAATTTCTCAACATCTAAAATCAAATCTCATCTATAAATACTAACTGAAATCCACACTATTTGCTTTATTAGTTTATTATTAATGTTGTCATCACATTCATTTATCACTATTCTAACGGATCTTTTACCAAAATGGCTATTTTTACGAAAATATTTACCAAAACGGCTAATTTTGAATTTTAATTCCAAAACTAGCTAAATTATTGACTTGAAAGGAAAATTACTTATTTGTTATTTTCCTTTGAACTAGCAAAATTATAGCCGTTTTGGTAAAAGATCCTATTCTAAGTAGCCAAAGTTCATTATGGTATAATAATGCAGCGGTTTCTGGAGAAGGATTCTTAGCACGAGACATAACCTTTGCGAACACAGCAGGCCCCGAAAAGGCCCAAGCAGCCGCCCTTAGAATAAACGCAGACTTAACAGCAGTCTACAGATGCAACATCTTAGGATACCAGGACACACTCTACGTCCACTCATTCAGACAATTCTACCGCGAGTGTAACATATATGGTACAATTGACTACATATTTGGCAATGCTGCGGTAGTCCTCCAAGGATGTACCATAGTGTCACGTATGCCACTCCCTGGCCAGTACACGGTCATCACAGCTCAGTCACGAGTCATGCCTAACGAAAACACAGGCATCGTGCTCCAAAACTGCACGGTGCTAGCCACCGAGGAGCTAAATGGTAACAAGAGTCGCGTTCAGAGTTACCTAGGGAGGCCATGGAGGCCATACGCTAGGACGGTGTACATCGAATCGTACATTGATGAGTTTATTGATCCAAAGGGGTGGATAAAATGGTCATCAAATGATGTTGATGAGATGCAAAATAGTTTGTATTATGGAGAGTTTGATAATAGAGGGCCAGGTTCAATAACAAATGGTAGAGTAAATTGGGGAGGGTATCATGTAATGGATTATTATGATGCAAGTAATTTTACGGTTCATGAGTTTATTGTTGGGGAACAATGGTTAGATTCTACTTCATTTCCCTATGATGAAGGGATTTAATAATGACTATTATTATTATTATTATTATTATTATTATTATTATTATTATTATTATTATTATTATTATTATTATTACTTCTAAATGTGTCAATGTGTTGAAAATTGATACTCTTTGTTATTTTTTACAAATTGATCTCTAGATCATCTAGACCGGAAGGGAAACTGTAACCACTTGAGTTATTCCTCACTCTTAAGACTGATTCATTTATTAAAAGACAATACGATGTATGTACAAAGAAATTTAGTAGTAAATTAAAATTGAATCAAACAATTAAAAAGCTTAGCCTAGTTTAATCTATTAGAAGAAAAAAAAAAGAAAAGAAAAAGCTATGATTGTTGTTCATTGTTGCATATGAAACATTAAAATTCTTTAGCCATTCATGCACATATAGGTTGTTCACTCGAATTGAAGCGGATAGATGATCAAGAATTTGAGACTAAATAAACAAAAGTGTCAAAATATATTGATTATGCTAGCATTAAAAACAAATCAGGCCAATAAAATCAGATCGAAACATGAATTGCATTCGACTAATTTGAGTTTACTTTTTTAAACAGAATACTATAATTTTTTATTTTTTTTGGAATTAAATAATAATAATAATAAATCCCCTAAAATGAGGTTAAAATGTTCTCATTAACCAATTGAATGAGAAATTAATATGGGTTTATATGCATTATTAAATCTAATAACAATCAATTCGGTTCAAGACAATTTTGACCCAATATCGCACTTGTTCTCTTTGATTTGGTCCCCCATATAGGGTCGGTCCAATCTAATCCATGCATTATTCCAATCTATACCATTTTTTGAGCATAACTACATACATTCACGTATAATCGTATATTACTTCCATATACAATTATCATTCACAATTTGAATGAATTAATTGGTTTTACTAATGCAGATTACAATTTATGATGACTTAATTTTGTCTCCCTAAATGCTATTATCACCAAAACTTTATCTCTTCGGTATTTATAGTACAATTCAATCATTCATTTGGGAAAAATAAAGTGAAGAAGGTTGTACACAAAATATACGAAAAAATCGGATTGAAAGGAAACCTTAACTAACTTTCAAACAATATTGTATTCCTATAATAACTAACTAATTTTCATTTCAATTTTGTACAACACCCCTAAAACTTCTCTAATCCAGACCTCTCTAAGTTTCTCTTTCTTAAAGAAAAACAAAATAAAGAACCAAATTAGATAAAATGAAGGAAACAAAACACTAAAATAAGCATAATTTTAAAGATCAAAAATATTGTTAACAGGTTGGGAGGAGGTAAAAGAGAGAGCCAAAAAAAAAAAAAAAAAAAAAAAACAAGAAAAAAAAAAATCATTCATTCCTGCCTTAGCTAGAGGCATGCCATGCTAGCTAAAACAACGGCAGAAGGCCTCTCTCTTTAGCCCCTCCTACCCTCTCATCCATCTTTTTGATTCGATCTCTTGTTCGACACAAACATGGCCTTTGAGGAGTTTAGCCAACTATCTAAACGTAGGAGAGAAGAACGTGCACAAAAATACAAGAAGAAGATATGCTTCGCGGTAATTTGTAGTATATTGTTCCTCCTTTGTATAGCCGGTGGAGTTTTTGCATTCTTTTATTTTAGTGACAAGAAAAATGATGCAACTAATAAAGACGATGGTTCCTCTCCTTCCCCTCCTGGAGGAGGAGAAGAGCAGATGAAAACCTCGAGTAAGATAATACAAATGTTATGTGACCCTACGGACTATAAGAAGAAATGTGAAGGTACCCTAGCCAATGTGGTACGTACTAATGCCTCTAACCCTTCTATTGCCCCTAGGGTGATCATCAAAGCCGCCATCTCTGCAGCCGCGAAAGAGATTGTCAAGGCTATTAATAAGACCGAAAAATTTAAGTTTGATAAACAAGAGGATAAGGCTGCATATCAAGTTTGCAAGAAGCTCTTCCAGGTAAAAGAATATGATTGATTCACACATATTTTTAAAATCTACCCTTACCGAAATAGAATACTTATGAATAATTCTTTTAGTAAAATTAATTCATTAATAGAAGAGTCACATAACATCTACAATATAAATCAAAAGTAGCAAATATAATATAAATTAGATACAAAAATATTGATTTAGAAGAATTTTCCTTAAATAAGTTAATGACAAATTAAATTCCTTGTGAATATAATGCTCAAAAAAAATTATTCAATTCAACACCATTTATATAATGTGCATGAAAAACTTTTTAATGTATGCATGTTCATTAAGGGTACCTAGTGCGATTAAAAATTACTTTCTAAGTTAAAGATTTAAAATTTTTAAAGCATGACACATCGTAAAAAATACCAATAATGTACTCCTAAATTCCCAATGCATTAGGTTTACATCGAACTATATACTTTAAAATTAACAAATAGTCATGTAATATACTTCATTTACATACTTCATGCACCAATAATTACGTAATTATTTACAACCCTAATGACAATAATCCCATAACAAAAACAGGATTCGGTAGATGAATTATCCGAGTCACTCCATCACGCGGAACATGAGGTTAAGAACTACCATACCGAGATTAATGAGCTTAAGACATGGTTAAGCGCGGTGTATTCTTACCAAGAAACATGTATCGATGCATTCGATAATGGGGATATCAAGAACAAGATCAAGGGAGCAGTGAATGCTTCTAAGGAGTTTGTTAGTAACTCTCTTGCACTTGTATCCCAAATCTCAAATATTCTTGACAAATTTAGTGCGGCCGAAGAAGCTTTGAAGCCTCCTACTCGTCACCTTCTAGCACACGGTGCACCTAATCGCAATGGTTCACCTTCATTCGTCAATGATGAGGGATTCCCCGATTGGATTGGTCATGAGGAACGTAAGCTTTCGGTTAAATCGGTGAGTAACTTGGTTGCCAACCTCACCGTGGCGAAAGATGGGAGTGGAAATTTTACTACCATCAATGATTGTTTAAAATCCTTGCCTGAAAATCGCAAAGAAAGGTAATTAATTACAATGCAAGGTTTTATCCTAGTTGTATCAATACTTTTTTATACACGCTCGGATGCACATAGAGGTTAAGATTTGAAAATGGACAAAGAATATCAAATGAGCAGAAAATACCATGCACCGTGCACCCAAGTGTATATAAATTTTTTCATATATGTTATATATCATTTGGTTAATGATTTAATTATGCTAACTTTAACTTTGTGGGATGTATGTAAGCAGAATTTATATCTACATTAAAGAAGGAATTTACGAAGAATACGTGACAATTACCAAAAAGATGGCAAATATAACAATGTTTGGAGAGGGGTCACAAAAAAGTATGGTCACTGGAAACAAAAATTTTGTAGATGGAGTTCGTACCTTTGAAACTGCCACTGTTGGTATATATATACTTTCTCTATTTATAGCTTTACACAAATAACTATGATCAATTTATGTTTCTTTAACAATAAAAATTGTGCGCCAGTTTATGGTGTATGTATGCACCACAATCATGAATATATGGGCACATATGATACCAATGTGGTATTGCTCGAATTAGTAGTTATGATCGTGGGCCTGTGTATACTGTATTAGGTGTCACAGGTTCAAATCCTCTAATCCCATGTTATGATCGAGGGCCTGCGTACACTGTATTAGGTGTCACAAGTTCAAATCCTCTAATCTCACGTTATGATCGTGGGCCCGTGTACACTATATTGGGTGTCACAGGTTCAAGTCCTACAATCACATTTTTAATGTGTATTGCATTTGTGGTTGATTCGGACCAAAAAAAAAAAACCAAACGCATGCAATTAGACAAAGCTCGTTTGGTAGGTAGTGATAAATTAATGGTGGTAATGAGAAAGGATTATTTGTATGTAATTTGCAAGAAAGAGATTGTCCTCATCATCATACTGTTAGTTTCTTGAAAGTATTTTTTTTCTTCGTAAATTTCCATTTTCATCCATTACCAATAGTTGATTCAATACTCTTTAGTTTTTGTGAAAATGTTACACTTGGTTAGACCATTAGTATCCTCCATGATGAAATTCTAAACAAACATTTATGCTTCAGCTGTGCAAGGAGAAGGATTTGTTGGCATTGAATTAGGATTCAAGAACACCGCAGGCCCGGAAAAACACCAAGCAGTAGCCCTTAGAGTGCAAGCAGATCGCTCAATTTTTCTCAATTGTCGTATGGAAGCATACGAAGACACCCTTTATGTTCAAGCACATAGACAATTCTACCGCAGTTGTTACATCACTGGTACAATAGACTTTATATTTGGTGACGCGGCTGCCATCTTCCAAAACTGTATGATTATTGTTAGGAAGCCAATGGACAACCAACAAAACATAGTCACGGCCCAAGGGAGGGCTGACAAACACGAAAACACGGGTATTGTTCTCCATAATTGTCGTATCTACCCCGATAAGGATCTATTCCCTTTAAAACATAAGTTCAAGACATACCTAGGTAGACCTTGGAAGCAATACTCTAGGACAATTGTCATGGAAAGTACGATTGGTGAGGTGATCACGCCAGAGGGATGGTCACCATGGCAAGGGGATTTTGCATTTAAGACATTGTACTATGCAGAGTTTAACAACCATGGTCCGGGAGCAGATACCTCGAAACGTGTTAAATGGGGTGGTTATAAGAAGTCTATTAGTAGACAAGAGGCACAAAGTTACACTGTTACACCCTTCTTGCAGGGTAGTTGGATTCGAGACTACCCTTCGGTGCAAGTTCATTTTGGGTTGTACAATTGAAGGCTCAATGGCCATGTATTTGATTCAACAAGGAAATTGGATGTTCATATTTGATTTTATTTATTCAAAATTACTAATAGCTAGAACTTTTAGAAAATTTTGGCATTCTTAATGAGTGTTTCATATACTTGTTTATTTGATGTACATTATCTTAGATGAGGATTTTACTTGATTTATTCTACTATGTATAATTAACAATATGACATACGCTATGCCTAGTTCCCCCTTCAACTGTTTTTTGAGATTTTAAGCAAAGAATAATTAAGGTATTCTCAAACATATTGAGAACTAGATTATATTAAACCCCGTGCAATGCACATTTGTTAAATAATTCTAATGACAATAAAATAATAAATTTTACCAAAAATGATGGATATATAAATATTATAAATAGACTTAGTAGTAAAAAGTTTGAAATATTGTGAAAGAAATTAATTAAACATATACGGGGTAATAGTTATAATGGGCAATTTGATATTTAAGAACATTTATTTTAGATTTTATATAAACTAAAAGTCATAATTTAATTACAATAAGTTTTTTTTTAGTAAATGGTTTTGGAGGGAAACATTTTACAATATTTTGCTAAGTGTTCTCTAAGTTTCCCCTTTAGTATAATGTAATTGATTGATTCAGGGCCTGTTCATATTTACTTATTTTCAGTTCAGTTCAGTTCAGTTCGGCTCCAATCAGTTCAGTTCAAGTTCAGTTCAGTTCAAGTTCAGTTTAGTTCAAGTTCAGTTCAGTTCAGTTGTTAATTTTTTTGTTTTAGATGTTTTAGCATATTACAACAACGACAATAATAATAATAACAATAATAATAATAATAACAATAATAATAATAATAATAATAATAATAATAATAATTATTATTATTATTATTATTATTATTATTATTATTTTAAATTATATTCATCGTTCAAAATGGTCACATGTTTTTTTATAGTTGAACTCATTGACAAAATGAGAGTACTACACAACAGTTACTAGCTTTCATAATCGGTTATTTCTTCGTTTTCTTCTTCTTCATTAAGTTACTCTATTATCTCGGCATTCCTCTGTTATCAGTTATTTGGTTTCGTACAATATCTATAGCTGCTTTTCTCTTATCATCGTACATAGTATGATCTTCTGTTGGTCGCATGACTTCAACTTGGTGCGTGAATGGAATCCTTATTTCATGTAAACGAACAAAATTGTGTAGAGTACAACAAGCAACGATTGACTACAGTAAAATATTGAAGAATACTTTATATTTTTATATCTATATTTAAAATATAATACACAAAAATTTAATAATTTAAAATATAATAATTTAAAATACAAAGTTATTTTTAAAACACTTTTATATTTTTCATTATCCACTATACATATTATCATTAATTTTCATAAACATTTTCATATATTTTTATGCATTTTAATTTTTCAGTTCAGTTCAGTTCAGCTCCAATCAGTTCAGTTCAGCTCAGTTCAGTAAATATGAACAGGCCCTCATTCATTCTCAGTAGTTAATATCAGATCTCTATGACACAAGAAAATACGGTCGTGTTATCATTGTAGATCATGTGTTATCAAAATTGATGCCCCTGTTTGGTAAGTATCTTTTAGCTTATTGATATAGCTAATTGTATTAACTTGTTAGACTAGCCGGTAATATTAGCTTATTTGACTAGTTAATTGTAAATAGGTACTTATGTAAAAGTGTTTGGTAAATAGCTATTTATTATTAGTTGTTTCAGTGTATTTTAGGGCTGAGCAAAACTACCCGAAAAACCGAATCCGTTACCGTTCCGAAAATTAGGGTACCCGATCCGATAACCATAACGGTTCGGGTACCCGTTCCGATAATTTGTTATCGGGTATGGTTATTGGGTATCATTTTAAAATTAACGGTTACCCGTTCCGAACCGATAAGCAATTTTTTGTTTTTTTATCCTACTTAAATCTATTTATTCCAAAATCTAAACTCTTACTTTACTTCATAATCACTATATAATATTAATGATTAGTAATATAATTAATAATTTAGTCAAGATCATGTTGTATTGTTGTTAATTAGTGTTAAAATTTATCATAATAAATAATTTATTAAGTTTAATTATCACTATTGGATACTTTATTAGGTACCCAATAACTGTTCCGAAAATCCGGGTACCCGAACTTATCGGTTCGGTTTATGGATATCACTTTTGGTGATATTGGTTATCGGGTACCCGAACCGTTAGTACTAATGGTACGGGTACCCGTCCCATGCTCACCCCTAGTGTATATAACACCTAAAAACCTAACTATTCAACAAGCTAATTGCAAAAAACTATTATATTGAGCTTTTTCTAAAAGAGCTTTAGCCTTTAGGGACCCAAAAAGCTCTTTTTATAAGCTATTTACCAGACATCCAAATTAGTTTTTTTAAATACTCATAGTCAATTATTTAATAGTACTTAATAAGCTAAAAGCTATTAAAAAAACTTTTTACAAAACAAGGCCAAAAAAAAAAAAAAAATTACGACCGCCAAATGCCCGAGTAGGCCACACCACCACGATGTGCTTCTCAGCCTCTTACGGCTGGGCTACACCTCTACAAAACTTCCCAAGCACGAATCAAAACACACAAATCACCCAAGTGCATAAAAGGAAGGAAGCTACCAAAATATTCACTACATTTTGGCGCCTAGGTTGAACATTTCGAATATCTTGCTGTTGTTTTCCACTAGATCAAAGCCCCTTTCCCCACCAATCTCAAGCCCTCAAGTCTTTCTATCTTCCAAATTCAAGGTTCAATCGTCTGTGTTTTCTGGGAATAATTCACATCGCAAAAATGGAGCAGCAGCAGCGAAACCCAAGGGCAGTGGCTCAAGAATCAGAAGAAATGGAAGAAATTCAACATGGCCCTTCTCCTGTTGAACAATTACAGGTACAATTCCCCCAAATTTCTCCTCTTTTTCTCTCATTTCTTGATAATTTTATCTGGGTTTTCTTTATATTCATCAAACTTTAGGTTTCTTGCTATTTAACAATGATATTGTGAAATGGGTCTTTTTTTTCTTTAATTTCTTGAAATTGTTTATCTGGGTTTTCTTTATAATCCTTTATTTTGAGGGTTTCTTGTGAAATTACGGTTATTAGTTGATGATTGTGGTTTCTTCTGATGGTTCAAGAAATTTATTGATATAACGAAATGGGTCTTCTTATTTCATCTGGGTGTTTTCAATACCAAATCAATTTTAGGGTTTCTTGATTATTTACTGTAAATTGTCAATAATTGCTTATTTCTTTAGATGGATCCGAAAATTTTCTTGATATAATGAAATGGGTATGCTGTTTCCCTTTCAATTTTGATGAAATTGATTACACCCAGAATTTATGGTTTCTTGCTAATCTTCCAGGAATTTGTGTGATCAAGAAGCTTAATCTAGCTTTCCATATGTTGGGTTTATGGGGTAAATGTTACCCTCTTTACTCCTAACCGGCTGCTTCTATTAATGGGTAATTCTTGTTAGAAGTTCTTGATGTGTTATTGAAGAGGGTTAAATTGTTACGATTTAATATTGATTTTGTTGTATTGCTCTACCAGTCAACAAGAGCTTTTCTTGAAATTCATAATACAGAAAAGCCTTCTATGACTTGTGTATACAGAAAAGCTTTTCTTGTTGTATTGCTCTACCAGTCAGCAAGAGTTTGGATAACTAATGTTGGATTTTCCTCTTCTATGATTTGTGTACTTTTTATTCTTGGATCGGTGATTGAGGTTGCCCCTATACTTGTTTGGTGCGGCAGTAGACTAGGTCTTCCCATTCTTGAGAGAAAGACAAAGATATTTCAATATTGTTGCCAGCAGTTTTAGTATTTGATTCTGTGATTGTTAGTCAAGCTATGTAGGGAGGAGCTAAATATAATTGGTGCTTTGTGGTTCATTATTAGCTCATCAACCTGTCTTTTGCTAATTTTCCGCGGAGGCTCAAGTGTCAAGAATGCTTTTCTATTGCTGTATACAGGAATTAGAACTTGGTTTAGTACTAAGACTACTGACTACAATTTATACAAATGCATTTTTATTATTATTTTTTTTATTTTGTTGCTTCTCCTTTAATATGCATTCCAATTAAAAAAAAAAAAAAATGTTCTTTAAGAATTGATGCGAGTACAATTACCTTTATTCATTAAGTCAAGAAGTTCTTTGTATGCAACAGTACGTATTAATTTGTTTCTTATATTAGGCAGCTGGTATTGCGGCTATGGATGTTAAGAAGCTTAAAGATGCTGGCTTATGTACAGTTGAATCTGTTGCCTATTCTCCGCGCAAGGAGCTTCTTCATATTAAAGGAATTAGTGAAGCCAAAGTTGACAAAATAATTGAAGCAGGTGAGAATGATATTGATATTATTTGTATATCTTGATTCTGTTTTCTGCTATACCTTGATTCTTTTTTATGAAATCAACATTAATATTTGCTGCCTCTATTGCTCTTTTGATTGGCAGCTTCAAAACTGGTTCCTTTAGGCTTTACCAGTGCTACTCAACTCCATGCACAGAGACTCGAGATTATTCAAATTACATCTGGCTCTACAGAGCTTGACAAAATCTTAGAAGGTTTGTTGTTACACCATCTTTACCTGTGCATGTCATTGCTATATATAATATATTCAGTAACTTCAGCGGTAAACTGACTTCATGTAGTTATATCATTTGGAAGGAGGACTTGAGACGGGATCAATCACAGAATTATATGGCGAGTTTCGTTCTGGAAAGACTCAACTTTGTCACACGCTCTGTGTCACTTGCCAAGTAAAAATTCTTGTTCACTCGATAAACTGTCCTTTTTTTTTTATTTATCAAAAACTACTAAAATTATTGTCTTCCCTTCATGTTTTAAAAAATAAATAAATTCATCTCAGGCTATCTTAATTTTAGCCGCTACAATTATTAAATCGGTGCTCTAACATATCCTCTGTGAGCACTGACTTGTACAGCGAGTACTTGTTTGACTTATACTCCACATATATTTTTTAGATCCATTGTCTGACAAATTTGGATATTACTCTTGAGAATTGTATGAAACTGCCAACTTGAGGGTAAATTTTCTTCAAGCAAAACTGTATATCTGTGTTTAGATAGCTTTCAGAATTTTTACATGTTTCTTCTTCTCAGGGGGGACTAAATATATATTTTGATTGTGTTATGCTGCAATTCTGTTCTAGACCCATCTATAAAACTATAATGCTTAATGTTTCCAATTTTCTTGTTGGTGTCTCAGCTCCCATTAGACCAAGGAGGTGGTGAAGGAAAAGCAATGTACATTGATGCAGAGGGGACATTTAGGCCGCAGAGACTTTTACAGATTGCGGAGAGGTTTGTGTCAGCTGCCATCTATATGTTGTCTCTTTCTATTATATACGTAAGCATACAATTTGTAAAACTGTGCTTTTATTCCAGGTTTGGGTTGAATGGTGCTGATGTGTTAGAAAATGTGGCCTATGCAAGAGCATATAACACTGATCATCAGTCAAGGCTTTTGCTTGAAGCAGCATCGATGATGGTGGAAACAAGGTATTTTGAGTTTCTTATGTTTTTTAATTGAGAAGAGTATCTTGCATTTAGCTTGTTGCCAACATTACAACTTGATAAATCACCATGTTTTGTTCAATTAAATGACGATCTGAAACTCAATGGATTTTGTCAATTTCACTTGTGACTTGTCTAATTAATATAGCCAACCTTTATATTCCTTAGGAACTCGTATTCTTTCTTTGTTTGCTGTACTATTGCATATTAGCAGCCATTTTTCAACACTCCAGAACAACTTGAAATAGAGTGCAATGTGTAGATATTTTGAAATGGAACTAGAAACTTGTCTTTATATTGCCCTTATATGTTTAGAATTGTTAGTGGCTGACTTGAATGTCCTGCAGCCTCGGTTATCTTGCAGTTATAGCTCTGGTTAAAATTTATACAAATTTGAAGCACTGATGCTGTCATTTGCGCTCACTACTTTTTGCTTGATTATAAGTTGTGGATTATGGTGTCAAAATTAATATGGATTTCTCATCTGCAGATTTGCTCTTATGATCGTAGACAGTGCTACTGCACTTTATCGGACAGATTTCTCAGGAAGGGGTGAGTTATCAGCCAGACAAATGCACCTTGCTAAGTTCCTTAGGAGCCTTCAGAAGCTGGCAGATGAGGTAATTATTCAGCTTCATTTTGACATTTGATACTTCAAGCAAACTGAACTTAGTGTTCATATGCTCTGAATTGGTAGCATATAAGACGAGGATACAAACCTTGCTATAAGTCATTATGCTTGTGGGAAACTATCCTTAACTGCATGATTGGCATTGCAGTTTGGTGTCGCTGTGGTCATTACAAATCAAGTGGTTGCCCAAGTGGATGGTTCTGCAGTCTTTGCTGGTCCTCAAATCAAACCTATTGGTGGCAATATAATGGCTCACGCTTCCACAACCAGGTCAGTTAATCTCGACCTATAATTTTCTGTCAAATAAAATACAGATATGTTGATGTGCTGAACTTTTTCCGTTAAACTATTCAGATTAGCTCTCCGAAAGGGAAGAGGGGAGGAGCGCATATGTAAAGTAATAAGCTCCCCATGCCTTGCTGAAGCTGAAGCAAGATTTCAGATCTCTTCCGAAGGTGTTACTGATGTTAAAGACTGATACCTAATCCTCTTGCTACTGTCAGTGGATGTACACAACAGCTGTTTTTCTTCACCATTGCTGTACGGATGAGGTCTTGCTGATTACAATTTATCATTGTTGCCTGAAAGGTTGGGAGAGGGTGTAAATTCTGTAATGTAGATTAGTATAATAGCAAATCTACAAATGTAGATCCTTTGCTTAGATGCGTTTTTCAGGTTCTTGTATACAATTGTCCTATTACACTAATTTCCATTATATTGGCTTCAAGTTTTTTGTTATTAACAAGCTTATCTTCTTATTTGACTTCAAGTTGCAATTTAGAGATGAGTATTGACAATTTGGCACGCACTAGAAAATGGCTTCTTTTGCTCGTACAACACTAAATTCATACCCAATTTAGCATCCTAACACTCATTCACTCATTTGGATATTAATTACACTTATTATATCCCCCTTGCTCGCCCTTAAGTTCCATTCGAATACGCACTTAAAATGGCTTAAGAAAGTATTTTGACATTCTTTATCCGCTAATACATAGTTGGCTTAAGGCCATCTTGGGGTTAAGGTGTTAAGCCATGCAAGGGCAACATTCATTTTCCAAAAGCACAACAAAATAGTAGTATGATTAAAAATTAAGGCATGCAAGCACGACATAACACAAACATAGTGACATGTGAGAGTAGGATGCACCTGACATGACATCTTTGCAAAAAATTCAATAGAGCAACATGACCTTTAGCGATTGATTTCGTAAAGATTTGTTTGTACTCCCTTTGTTTTTAATACTTGCTTCATTTCTATTTTTATCACTGTTCATTTGTCCTACTTTGACTAAGGGTATGTTCTCATACGTTTATTTTCAGTTCAGTTCAGTTTAGCTCCTAATTTCTTTCTCTTATAAAATATTCATTTAAGTTCAGTTTAGCTGAGAACAGGCCCTAATGTTTGTGATTTATACATAAGAAAAAAAAAAGTCTTGTGGGTGTTTGTTGGAATCGTCTAAATGAATAGATTATTTTAATTGTTAGAATTTTTACTTATTGATGATTTAAAATATAATTGATCAAAGATTAGTATCGGCATACGTGCTCAAGAGAAATGGAACAAGTATTTCAAAACAAAGGGAGTATCTTCTTTTCCAAAATTTTGGCATGACATGACATTCCAGGCAGTGAGTGGTTTAGTAGGGATGTGTTTGTGTCACCTTTTTTAGTGAATCGCTAAACATCGCCCGCAAATTACCATATAAAGCCCACAAATATGACTTGGTGTGACCATTATGCCCATTTTCTAAAATTGAAATAATCTCGGTTTAAAAAATGTGGAGCCGTACTGGCTCGCCGGGGGAGACCGGAGGGCAGGCCGGAGATGCGGGGGACGCCGGAGGTACGTCGTCGTCGACGGAAAACGAGGTAAGTCACCGTTAAAATTCACGGTTTACCGTCGGAGTGGCTCTGGCGCCTAGGATGGACGCCCAAACCGTAGCCTGGACGTCCAAGCAAGACGCCAGAACCACCAGAGTGGCGTCCAGCCCAGACGCCCAGACCACCAGACTGACGTCCTGGCCAGGCGCCACTCTACTGGCTGAGGCGGCCCTGCCAGGCGCCAGTCCAGTGGCTGTGGCAGCCCTGGCAGACGCCACCCTTATAAATTAATTTTTTTTTCTTTTTTGATTTTGTTGTTGTTTTTTATTTATTTATTTTTTAAAAAAAAAATCGAAAATGATTTTTTTTTAAAAATTCGAAATGGGTTTTTTTTAAATTAATTTTGAAAATTCGAAATAGGTTTTTTTAAAATTAAGTTTGAAAATTCGAAATGGTATATTTTTAAATTTAGTTTGAAAATTCGAATTGGGTTTTTATAAAAATTAAGTTTGATTATACATAATTATGCTTTTTTGTGTTAATTCTGTGTAAATATAGAAATTAAATGTATTATCCGTTAATTGTATTTATTGTAATATATAATTGATGCAGGATTATGGTGGAGACGGAAATGATTACAGTGGGATATTTGGACATGATGGTCCATTCGAAGAAGCTCAACAGGCGATTGATTGGGCAAAACAGGTTGCAATTGGAAGCTAAAAGAACAATCTAAAATGTTACAAACTTACAACATAATGTCCAATTTAATAAATTAAAACGATAATATTTAAAGTGCTCTATAAATAAAATGACAAAACCATCAATAATCCCTCCTCGACGACGAATCCCACTGCGCAAGGGTCTGTTCCAGACTATCAACAACAACTCTCCCTGTTGCACTCATGCTGTCCTTCTCAAGAGAGAGTTTCTGTACGTCCTGCATTATCTTTCCCATCCACTGCATACAACAAAAAACAAAAGATGAAATACAATAACAACATATAAAACTTAATTAAAAGACAACGATAAATATAATATGAGACATACCACTTCCATGGCAGTAGGCGATGGCACATAATCATCATCGCTGTGGTCGAGATTTGCGATCAACCTCGGGTGCGAATACCGGTTGAACCATTCCATTTAGTAATGGTCACACATGGGAGGAACCCCAGAGGGCGGCCGCTGCAACTCCGCAGTCCATAAGCGGGCCACCATCGGAAACTGGTCCCACGTCCTGGTCATGATATCCGGCCATTGCACGACGTAGTCCCTCGACGATGCAGGTCGGACCGCCTTCATCGGGCATGCCGGGGGAGGAGGGAAAACTTGGACAAATCCAAGCTGGCAAAGACAACGCTGGGGCATGTACGCCTCGACGATCTCACGATACTAAATGAGTCCCGTGTACAGGGTCCTGGGTACCCTAACACTAGGGTTCGGGCCGAAAGGCATCCAGTTCACCTGCACATAGTTTTAAAATTTAATAACATGAATATAATATGTGCAAATAATAAAATGTAGAAACAATTTATAAATGTTACCTCTAAGGGGGACAGCCTGTCCAGCAATAACCGTATCGATCGGAGGCGGTCAACGGACTTCTTCTCCGAGCGCGGACTCCACGCACAAGCACGCGACATCCCCTCATCAATAGGAACCGGGTCACGATGTGGTCGCAATGCAGGAAAGTACTCGTATATCCAGGTCTGCAATAGAGTCAGACACCCAGTGATACCTGCCGCGTCAGCCCGACTCGCAAATCCTAGTTGGCGATACAAATACGCCAACGTAGCCGATCCCCAGGAAAACTGGCCTACACTGTCGGGGTCACACGCCTCTACTATGTCGCGTGGCCTGAGCTTGTTTCCGCCGCTCTTATCCGGAAACAAGGTACATCCGAGGAGTAGAAAAACATAAGCACTCAGCTGTGCGTCGTGCGTCCTACGTGCACTAGGGTACAAACACCGATGCAACACGGATGCGATCTTCACACCTCCGTGTTCCCAAACACCTAGCGCCTCGGTGTACAGTGCAGCCCTGTCCACCGCCAACAACTCCGCCAGCAAATCTGCCTGATCCGCATCAGCCACAGCACAAAGTCGTTTACCCTCAACACGAATCCCCAGAATAGCCTCGACGTCATGTAACATGATCGTCATCTCACCGAACGGAAGGTGGAAAGAGTTTGTATCCGGCTGCCATCGCTCAATGAAAGTCGTGATCAGCGTACTGTCAATCTTATCGTGCATGGTGGCAGGAACGTGATTCACCCCAGTGCCCTCCTGTCGCTCGAACATCTCGCTCTCCGCCGGCCAAGCCTCAGCCCATGTACGCAAAAAGCTACAAGTCTTTTCCCGGGTATGACATTTCAACAACCCCGTAACTGAAGGCCTCTCCTGGTCCTCCCAAATACGGGCAGCTATGTGTCCTATAAAGCTAGGAATCACACTCCCGTCAACAGGCCCACCGGGCACCTCACTCCTAACAACCCAAGAATCATTACCGGCCCTCGACCGTTTCCTGCTTGCCCCAGATACAGTGGACGCAGATGATGTGCCAGATCTACTAACAAACCTACCACCCCTACCCTTACGCACCTCCACCATATGTGTCTCGTACATGTCATCAACCCTCTGACTGAATGGACCGTAATCATCATACGGTCCACTGCCATCGTCCACATCCTCATCCTCATCTGCGCCCTCCTCCTGCTCCTCCTCCTGGTCACCCTCCTCAGCATCATCATCGTCATCCTCATCCCGACGGTGGATCCGTTCTCTACGAGCTGAGGCCGAAATACCACGGGATCTGACATGTCTATGCCCTGACCTCTCCACTGAATAGCTTCTACTAAGAAGCTCTACATTCTTCCCCGCACCATGACGACCCAGTGAATTCTACACAAAATTTTAAAATATATAAACATACAAAAATTTATACGAAAAATAGCTACCACTACCCAAATCAAATAAACTAAAAACATACTAACAAATTAACATAATAAAGAAATTAACAAAACACTTAAATAAAAATAATAGAATAAAAAATACACTTAGAAAGGAAATAAAACCAACACAGAAGAATATATATAAACATAAATAATTCATTCCCAATTAAAATAAATTAACTAACCAAAAACAATATCAATAATAAAATTTAAAATAAATTAACTAACCAAAAACAATAACAAAGTCACAAAAAAAATTTAAAAACAAATCAAAATAGAGAATAAAAATAAAAATGTACAAAAAAAACAAACAAATAATTGTAAACAAAATATAAACATAGAAAAAATACAACAAAATTGAAAAAATTTATAAAAATAAACAACAAAATAAAAAAACAATTCAAAAAGATATTACACAAAAAAAAAAAAAAAAAACAATATTTTAAAACAAAAAGGGGGGAGGCGCCTTGGCTGGACGCCCAGCCAGCGGTGGTGGCGCCAGCTGCAGACGCCGCCACCAGTGGGCTGGCGCCTGGGCTGGACGCCACAGCCACAGCTGCGGCGCCTTGAATAAACGCCACAACCGTGGCTATGGCGTCCAGCCCAGGCGCCAGCCTACTGGTGGCGGCGTCTGCAGCTGGCGCCACCACCGCTGGCTGGGCGTCCAGCCAGGGCGCCCCACCTCTGTCACGACGGTTTTTCCTTTTTTTTTTTTTTTTTTTTACAAATTGTACCTTGCCTCCTTGGGACCTCCTTCCCTCCGCCGCCGCCGCCAATTCCTTGCCTTGCCGCCTCGACATTGCCGTTGTTTGAATTTTTTTTTTTAGAGAGGTTGAAAGAAGATGAGCGATGAGAGTGTGAGTGATGAGAATGTGAGTGTTTTTTTTAGGTCAAGGGCAATATTGTCAAACCAAGTGAATTTTGTGGGCTTTATGTAGTAATTTGTGGGCGATGTTTAACAAATCCCCTTTTTTAACATTTTGGAATGACATAATGTGATACAACTCATGCAAGTGAGTGAGCACACCTATAAATCGGGTTTAGTTAATCCCAAAATACATGACACAACCCACAACCATCTTTAGATATTCCGTATCAATAACAATCATCGGGTAAATCATATTCTTCCACTCAATCATCTTTAGACCTCACCCTATCATTTCATTAGCAAGTATTTTAATAACGATTTGGTAACACCAATTAACCAAAAAATATATAGGTCTGGTACCTGACTCAACCAACCCAAACAAACCGAAATCGATTCGAAAAACATCTAATTCAGATTTCGACTCTTATAACCACAATAACTTACTCCGTAGCATAACTCAATTTTATGAAAATTAGATAATACACCCGGGTGCACCATGCTCATGGTGCACCCGGGTAAACAAAAAAAGGCGGAAAGAACATATAGTGTTTGATAAAGAACATACCTATGTTTGACAAAGAACATACCTTTAATATGTTTTTTGAGTGTGATCAGTGTGTTCTTTGAGTAAAATTATATGTTCTTTATATTATAACTTATGTTATTTAACATATGTTGATAAACATATATTTTTTTTGGGTTTAACAATACAAAGTATGTTCTTTGAATTTGGCGTGTATGTTCTTTAAGGTCGTAGTGACTCCCAAATTCTATTTTTTATTATCATGTCATATTTAAATTACTTTTATTATCGTATATTCTTTGAGTTTGATTAGTGTGTTATTTAGGTATTAACTATATGTACTTTACAATATAAATTATGTTCTTTTAACATATGGTATTTTGAAATTTGATATTGAAATCTTAAATTATTTTTAATTGAAAATAATGTTAGAGTAAAAAAAAAACTAAATTATTATGGGAAGTTGAATTTTTTTTGGAGATTTAGAAAACTATTTTTTGGGGAAATGATATCTTTGGTAAGGATTTTTTAAGAGGTGATCAACATTGGCATGACTCGCATCCCGACCCGATCCGGCCCGAAATAGGGTGGGTTTGGGCAAACCTAAAAATACATTTTTAGTTAAAACTCGAACCGGGTTCGAAAAAAGCCCGAAAACCCGCTACTTTTCTACGGGTTTGGGCACAAGAAATTATGATATGGCCCGACCCTACTCGATTTTTTATCACCTCTAAATTTTTTCCGTTAATAATATGTAATTTTTCAAAAAAATTTATCAAGTTTTTATCTCGTTCTTTTTATTATATCTTTATGTTCTTTGGTAATGCATGTTTTTGTCAAATACAAACATGTTCTTTGTCAAATACATGTATGTTCTTTATGAAACACAGGATGTTCTTTCCGCCTTTTTTCTTATTTATCCGGGTGTACGATGAACACTGTACACCCGTGTGTATAAACCACGGATTACAATTTTAACGTAGAGTCGACCCAATCTCATCAACCCCGACCCGAACACCCGAATTAACGCCTCTATACTTATCTCCCTAAGGCCAAAGTAAATGTCCAATTAGCCCCCTTTACGCCATACCAGATCCAAAGTAAAGTCCCAAGTCTCTCTCCTCTAAAACAACTACCACAGTGATCAAATCAAATTACTGCTCTCGAAGAAGACGACTCCACCAACAATGGTGGCTCCCAAGAACTCCTCTCCTCTCCCCAAATCTGGCGCAGTTTCCAAGGGCTACAACTTCGCTTCCACTTGGGAACAGGTCTTTCTTTCTCTCTCCTCTTAATTTTACTTTCAATTATTGCATTGCATTGCTTTGCTTTGATTTAAATTAGGGTTTATCATTGCTTGTTATTTGATCAATTTTCATCAATCTTGCAATTCTGATTTGGTTTATTGAATGAATTAGGTTTAATTTCCGATCCGATTTTTTTTCCCTGGAATTTTGTTGATGTTCTGAGTTTAATTTTTGTGATCAATTCAGAATGCTCCATTGACAGAGCAGCAACAATCCGCAATCGTTGCATTGTCTCATGCTGTTGCCGAGCGTCCTTTTCCTCCCAATTTGGTACCTTTCGTTTATTTCTGTATTTTGATTTCGTGGTGATTTTGGTGGTGGTGGTGGTTTAGTTTCGAGTGTCGGAATTGAGTAATTGTGTGTCTTATAGGCGCAAGACCGAGTACCGGGGCAGGGACATGGTTTATCTGTTAGTACGCCGGACAGTGTTGCTGATAACTCTGCTGCTATTGAGGCTGTTTTGGTTAACACAAATCAGGTGATCAGTTTGTTTTGATCATGGCTTCGAAACTTTTAAATCAGTATCTTTATTACAGTCGCCTTTTGGACGTACTACTCAAACATGGATTTTTATATATCTATCATTGCAATATGATTCAAATGGTAGGAAAGAATTAATTTGACATATCAACACTAGTGGATTAAGTAATGGTTGATACACAGTTAGTGTGTGTGTGTGTATATATATATATTGCATAAATGTTATGTTATTGTCTGTTAGAATTGTCAATATTTCATACACGCTGTTACAATTTGAGGTTAATTTATGGTGATATTATTATAATTGTGATGAAATAATGTGAAATTACCTTTTTGGCATGTCTAAAAGTGGATGTTCATACATCAATCTTTTTTGCAGTGTTCATTTCTTTCTTAGTTTTTATGTATGTCATACAAAGTATTTAGGATTTTGAAGCTGTTAGTCTCAAAATTTAGACACAGCCATTAGCTGAAAGCTTGTTTCTATGTCTGTCCTTTTGTGCTGCAGTTTTATAAATGGTTCACAGACCTTGAAGCTGCCATGAAGTCAGAGGTCAGTCATTGTGTAATGTTGATACACTGGTTATATGTGCTCATGATACTTGGATATTTCTCTGATTATTTCTTTTTTTTAGACAGAGGAAAAGTACAGACATTATGTAGATACTCTGATACAGCGTATTCAAACTTGTGATGATATACTTCGCCAGGTTGATATGCATTTTTATCATTTTGACCTTCAAGTCCATTGGGTGGCTTTGTGATACAGATTTGGTTATCAGCTAATATCTGCCCCTTGCATGATATGCAACTTTGGCTATATTTGATGCAGGTGGATGATACCCTTGAATTGTTTAATGAGCTACAATATCAACATCAAGCAGTGGCAACTAAGACTAAAACCCTTCACGATGCATGTGATAGATTGGTATTTTCTCAATCTCTTAATTCCTTTAAATGGGAAGGCTACTTCCATCTCTTTAACTTGGGTTTTTATCTTCTTTTTTTGCAGCTAATTGAAAAGCAGAGATTGATTGAATTTGCGGATGCTCTTCGGAGTAAGCTTAGTTACTTTGATGAATTGGAGAATGTAAGCATACACTATACTTTTTCATCAACAAAAAAGTCCCAGCCCATAAAATTATGGTGTTTCATGTCCAAGACTTATTGTTAGTTATATTAAAAGAGAAACAATTTCAAAGTGCTAGTGGCATTTCTATTGTTTATCTCATTTTGAGACCTATGCAAGCAATGGTAATCTATTATGTAACATGTATATTGCTCGTTGATGTGGCTAGCCTGTATTCTTTTGGCGAAGTGTTTCGCTGCTGTTTATATACTAACTCTGTTTCTATTTACTTGACTAACATTCATATAAAAGAAATGTCATATTAATTGACCCACACTATAATGGAAGGTTTATAACTGCAAACTCACATACTTACCCTTAATTACCTCATTTGTCCTAGGGTTAATAGACCCCAAATTCCCAACCTCTTCAACCTTTCTTTATAAAACAGCCACCACTAGGTTCATCAAAGCCATCACCTTCCCTTCCGTACAACCGCAACCCTTACTGAAAATCACCACCCACACACTGATGCGCCTACGTACCCTTAACTTATGCACCCTCAAACGAAAATCACCAACTCACCTCCATTTTCACCGATTCGCCACCCCGAACTCGTTCGCATCCTGCCGCCCTCACCAATACCACCGCCCTCTACACCAATTTTCACTTTTAACCCGTCAAAATTTTCCATCCTTAAAAAAAATAACATCCCTTTGCACAATCTTCCGTCTTTATGACCCTAACTCACCTAAATCACATATCCACTAAAAAGCGTCACCTTCTAATTTGAAAACCACCATCACCATCATAGATGAAAACCCCAACTTTAATTTTTCTCTCTTCCCTTCTAACCACCAGATCTACAACCCACCATTCTACTCTTAAGGGCCTTACTAATAATATAAAATGGGTCATCTGGGCTATGCAATCAGGGAGACATTAAGATACATTAAGCGATGAAAAAGCTAGTTTGGTTTATTATTTGGATAACATTAAAATCTGAAGATAGTTTTTAAAAAATTTGATTAGCTTGGCTCTCACAAAAGCTAAATAAGTACTTGTAAATCAAGATATAACTGTCTGTAATTTCCTGATTTCCTCCATATACTTCTCTCCTCGATTCCTAATATTTGTAACCACCCTTCAATCTTCTTTCACTTCTCCTCTGTCTCAATACACATAGTACTCTTTCTCTTTGGGGCAGTTCATAGTGTCATGCCAATAAATTTTCCAAACTACTAACTGTGTTGAGGTTATCCCGCACAAATCTTAAGAGTACCATGTGAACATCGATTTCTCACTCCGTTTTTTTTTTCATAAGCTAGAGTTACTATTTTCGTCCGTTTTTTTTATAAGCTAGAGTTATATTTTTGGAATTCTCTTATAATTTAATAATATATATTTACCCACTAATGTCCCCACTTTTTATTTATCTTTTCTCACTCTTCCAATGGTCCCCACTCCCTCTCAGACCACTTTACTTTTCAATAAAATAATAACCTTATCTACCCCACTAACATCTTATTTTATTAAACCACCTAAAACTCCGCGCAATCTCATCTCTTGCCTATAAAAAAAAAATGGAGGGAGTACTTTATTTAGGCTTATTACTGTATGCACTTGCACAAAAATTAGAAGGGTACTATGTAGAATATTGTCATAAATTTGAATAACATTGAGAGTTGTTTCATATAGATATGATTTTGCAGTAATTGAAACATTCCATTGCTTGTTGTATATTTATATCTTTCTTATTTGGTATTTATATGCTTTTGTGTGCTATTTTCAGTTCTAGATGCTGTTCATTTAATCTGGCATCAGAAGCTCAAAAAGATAGAGACTGCATCACTCTTTTCTGAGATTTACATTTCTAATTAAAATTTTCAAATTTTGTTTTCAGATTTCAACAAGCTTCTATTCCCCTAGCATGAATGTTGGAAATCGAGACTTTCTTCCTTTGCTGAAGCGGCTGGATGAATGCATATCGTATGTTGACTAGTGGCCTGAGACATTCCTGGATTTAAAATTAATGCATGGTTAATTAATTTAGAATTTAGTCAGTATAAAATGGTCATTGATAACACCCTTTTCTTTTTTCCTTGTGGAAAAATCCACCTTAGGAAGTTTTCTGTACTTTGCATTATACAATATTCTTTTATATTAAAAAAAAAAGGTATAAAAATACAATTATAAGTAATACAATTTGATGTATTTAATTAATGGGATGTAGTAGATGAAGGAAAGTATTCTATTAAAAATAGTTGTTTAGTTCATAGAATATATTGCTGTCATAAATGCTTTTAGAGAATTATAAAATAAAATTATAATTTGCATGTTTAGAAAATAAAAAGTGGGTTTAGGAAACCCTCCGAAATACTCCATTATAATATATAGATGTATATGTATCTACTGCCACCCTTTTTGAGAAAATTGGGTTTCTAATATCTCTTAGTTGCTTTCTGAGTGTTGACTATGTTTCTAAGAGTGCTGTATTTTTCTTGCTGGTCTTTGCTGCTGCCTTTTGGATGTTGTAGTTTATAAATTTTTATGCTTGAATTCTGAATTTTAGGTACGTTGAGAGCAATCCCCAATATGCAGAGTCTAGTGTGTACTTGGTCAAATTCCGACAGCTCCAGGTAGTAATGACTCATACTTTTTGTGTACGATACTAAGAATGCAATTCTTCTATCAAGATTAAGGTCAGGTTTCAAATATAATTTTCTTCTCTTTGATGTTGATTACAGTCACGAGCCTTGAATGCGATAAGGTCTCATGTCCAGTCAGTCCTCAAAAATGCATCATCTCAGGTGATTATCAGCAATATATTATTGTTGTGTTTGCTCTTACTGTTAAAGTTAGAAAATTCTGTGATTTTTAAGTTGTCTTGATTAGGTTCATGAAGCAATAAGGAATATTGGTGGCAGTAAACCAGCATTTTCTGAAGGCGTAGAGGCATCTGTTATATATGTCCGTTTCAAGGCTGCTGCAAGTGAGGTAGTTTTCTTGATAACTGCTGTGACTTGTGAGATTATTTCTGGGGTGTGGCTATGGGGATAATTCACTAGAAAGTTACTTTATGAAGTTTTGAAGTGTATCAGAAACGGAAAATCTGGTCTTGAATTATTCAATTTTGCTTTTTTCATCATCTGGAAAGAAACAAACATATAATTTCTTCCGTCCCTAAACAAAAAGCCCCATTGATTAGAGAATTGAGTTAAATTACCATGATTATCTGTAATAAATTGTAATCCCTCCATTCTTGAATACTTGACTGGCCTATGTGTCAATGCATAAGTTTGTCCATAAATATATGCTATTATGCATTAATTATAAAAAATAATCAAAAAATTGTTTTTTGAAAATTTACATTGAGACTAGTTCAACAATATAGTACACATCTACAGATCATTTTATATATTTGTAAAAAATAGAATTAAAGTAATACATGAATAGGGCTAAAGGATTTGTCATTATTGTTCTGCTGCTGCTTTATGGTCTAAAATAGAGCTGTTTGGTCATTGCTTACCTTTTCAAATCATAATTGGAAACTGTGCAGCTCAAGCTTGTGCTTGAAGAAATCGAAAGCAGATCATCACGGAAAGAGTACTCCCAGCTCCTTATCGAATGCCACAAGGTGTACAGCGAGCAGCGGCTTTCATTGGTTAGTTTGAGTTGTCTCCGGTGTTTATTTTTTTATTATTATTTTTTTTACACTCACCTGCAATACTTACTTTGCAAATTCTGTCAGCTAAAAGGCATTGTGCAGCAGCGAATATCTGACTTTTCTAAGAAAGAGGCATTGCCATCATTGACTCGGTCTGGGTGTGCATACTTGGCACAGGTGATTGTACTATTTGAGACTAGTTATAATATGGAGAACTTTGGTTCACATTGTTACTTTGTTTTAAATTTTAAATCTTAATGCATTGTCTCTACTATTCCTTCTTCCTTAATTTGGAGCTTTATCAACAACTTAGGGGAACTTTTTTGATTTAAAAAGTTAATACTCAAGACCTTTTCTTATCTTTAAATTTGTAAATTCTGAATGTGTACAGCCTATTTGAAGGGAAAGATTTCTTAACCCACCTTACTAGCATGAAAGTTAAAAAGAAATTATATGTAAAAGATAAGCCCTTTAAATACTCGTATTGGATTCTAAATCTAACAACTGTTTTAAGCAAATTACTACCTCTGTTCCATAATGTCCGTTTTTTTTAATGGTTGCCACAAGAATTAAGGCAACGGAGAGAGTGTGTTAAAAGATGGGTGGGTGTGAAAAAATTGTGGATAAAGTAAGAAAGAGAGGGTGTGTACAAAGTTAGGTGAATGTAAAAAAAAAAAAAACGTGGCTGGAGTAAAGAGAGGGTTAGGGGAAAGGTTTTAATAGTCTTAGGTGAGAGGGATATGATTAAGAGGGGATTGCTGAAAATGTAATAAAGTAGATATGTAAGAAAAATACGAAATGGATAAAACCAGACTATGTCCAGAACATTATGAAATGGAGAAAGTATAACCCTAATTTGCTGTAGAAAAAAGAGAAAAACAACATAAAGATTACAATGAAGGTTTTACTTAGCTTTCTCTTGTCTCATCCTCTATCCTTTTTTCTTTTCTGAAGGATGTTTGACCTCAAATGTGAAAGTAAGATAGAAAGAAAAGTGCATGACTCAGGCATCTCTGACTATGACTGGGCTCTAATAAATGTTTATAATCATCTACCTTCACTGAGAGAATGTTTTTGTGGCCAATATTATTAACAAGATTGTCAAAATTGTAAGGGCAACCCTATAATATTTCATGGAATGCTCTTTACACTTAAGTATATGCATTTTGTAGATCGTAGGAATGGGGGGTGAAGATGCTTGTCACACAAAAGGTTTTGATAAGGTTCAGAAATCTATGTGGATATTTTAATATTGCTAGAATTTGGCTGGGAAGAAGGCCAGGTATCAGATTCGCTTTTTAGCATCTGAATTCAGTTTAGTTTTTTTTTTTTTTTTTTTTTTTGGGTGCGCTGCTTTGAGAGACTTCCCTGTTTTATAAATGAGGATGGTGCGCTGCTTTGAGAGACTTCCTTTTTTTGTAAATGAGGATGGTGCGTTTAATTTTTGCTGTGAAGTGAGAGCATTTATTTCAGATGTGGATCTAAATACAAAGATGTCTTGATTGGTAGTTTGGGATGAAATTATTTTGAGTGTCCCGATAAATCATAATTGGGATATTCCTATGAACATGGGTGACATCAATTTGAGGATTATGTTTTCTCATACCATCATTTTTACTACACCAGCATTTCAGCTGTGGAATGCTAAATACAAAGGTGCCATATTTGGTAGTTTGGGATGAAAATATGTTGCAAGTGTCCCTATAAGTCATAAAAGGGGAAATCTGTATGAACTTGGGTGACGTCAATTTCAGGATTATGTTGTCTGGGGATTATGCTTTTTTTACCATCATTTTACTATACATTGGATCGTAGGAATGTAGGACTATAGGAAGTTAGCTGTACATATTGCAATACCACTGGAATCGACAGATAATAATTATTTTGCTTCTTCTGGGAATGTTAATGGATTTATTTACCTTCTAATCTGAGGGTGTCTAACTGCAACTGATAAAGGGCCCTGATGCTAGTAATTGATCTTTTCCCTTCAGTCCCATTAAACCCTGCACTAAATGAAGGTAGCCCGGATTTACTTCATGCAAAATAATTAAAGCAAGACCTGCCTATTTTAGTTACACTAATTAGAATTGACTACTTAATTCACTCCAGCCTCCAGTAGCTTGGGTCAGCAAAATTTGACCACAGTTTTTCTCTCACAAAGTATGTAAATTTAACCTTTTTTTTTTGTTCGTATACAAGTATTGTACTACGTAGTAATTACTAACAATACAAAATCAAACCCGTCCCTAACTACCATTAGATTCATCCAAAGGTAGCTGCAGCAGCGGGTGACCAGTGGCTGTAGTTGCCAACAGTTATGGAGGAGGGTGGCATAGGTGAGTCATGGTTGTTGTGGCATGGTGGTGATGCAATGTTGTCTAAGCTCAGCTATACAATTTACGATAGAGAGAAAAGAGTTAGGGAGAATTAAAGGAATGAATTATACTGGAGATAAAATGATTGTTGTAATTTTGAGGGTTTTTTTAGTGATTGAGGAATTTTGTAGTTATATTTGATATTTCCAAGCTTACAACTATGATGTCATTACTAATCTCACACCAAGTAAAAGTGAGTCTTCATTGACAAAAGAGGCACATTCATACTTTTAACTTTCACTTGTAGACTTGGATGGTGGGATCCTTATAGTTTTACTTGCACATTGAAAAAGCTGCAAGTAGATGTGCCCAATTTATCGTCTTTTGCTAATTTCAAAATGGTAAAAAATGCTTCTCATATACTATTTACAAAGACATATCAAATTGTTATTGCAGGTTTATCAGCTTGAACACCAATTATTTAGTCATTTTTTCCCAGCTTCTTCAGAGGATGTTGCAAGTTTGGCTCCTTTGATAGATCCTTTGTGAGTTACTATTGCTTCTTTTGCTCATTTGGATTTTGGTTACATATATTTAATTTGCCAAAAGAGGTTTGAGTGTGCACCTTCATGTACTAGTGAATTGTGATGTACTCACTATTTTATTATGTTTATTACATATAGTTGATTGAATCTCATGCTTTTTTATGCACAAATAGTGGTAAATTGGTAATTTGGTAATAGTGTATCAATTTGACCGGCATTTAGTTTTTGAAAGGTGAATTTAATGCATTATAAAATATAGTGTTTAGGGTTTGGGAATAGGTGGGTAATAGTTTGTTAAAGAATAAGAGATGTGAGAGGAGAGAATAATATTTTAAAAAATGGTAATTGTGGGACCTTGTGAGGAGAGAGATATAATAATAAGTAAATAAACTACGTGTCCAAAAAAGGAAGTGATGCACTTAAAAAAAAAAACTGAATATTTAGGTAAGTGATGCAATTTGAAAAAACAGAGTGAGTAGGAATGACTAAAAAACTCTCTTGGTAATTAAATAATGTTTGTGGGATTAACAATTTGTAAACTTTCTATAAGTACCTTTTAATTATTATCATATTCGCACACTATATTTTCATAAAAATCTAACTTTATATATCTACCTTTTTTAACAAGTATTTATTCTCTAATACTTAAATATGTCAATGCTCTTATTGGCAATCTACATACTTAAATAGCTATTAGCTAACAATTTTTTACCACACTTATATACAATCAGCTAATATGGTACTACACAACCAGCTTCAGCTATCAGATATTCTGACTTGTGAAATTTTATTAGTACAATGACCTTGCAGTATTTAACACCATTGGTTGGATATAGAGCAGTCTAGAATTCAGATGTAATGTAGTCTCTTCTCAAACTTGATTGGAACCAGTAGAGAGATTGCTTTCTGTAGCTACCACCTGGAGATCCTAATTAGTGATCAACTATGAAGATTAGCCGGATAGAATATTAAGACACTATATCCTTATATGAAGAGGCTTTTCATTTCTTAGCTTAGTATCACTACTTCTAGGAAATTTGTTTTTTTAATACTCCATTTTCCTTTTCCCATATTGACATTGCTCCTCAACTGGAATTGCAGGTGCACTTACTTGTATGATACTCTACGCCCAAAGTTTATTCATGAAACAAATATCGATTTTCTCTGTGAACTTGTTGATGTACTGAAAGTCGAGGTCCTTGGAGAGCAGCTCAGTAGACGGAGTGAATCATTAGCTGGTCTGCGGCCAACTTTCGAAAGAATTTTGGCCGATGTACATGAGCGACTAACATTTCGTGCTCGGACTCATATCCGCGATGAAGTGAGTATTATACTCAATTTTGTTACCTGAACGGCTCTCTATTGAAATTTGCCATAGGCCCATAGTATTTCAGTGTTGCTATTTGTTCCTGAGTTATTTGCTTTATGTGTATGTGTAACCTTCGTTTCTTACGGAAGTTTTCTTTTTCATCTTCTTTCTCTGCATCTAGATAGCAAATTATTACCCTCTCAATGAAGACTTGGATTACCCTGCAAAACTGGAACAAGCTTCTGAGGTTAAAGAGGAAGCTCAAACTGTAAGTTAGTTGAATATTAGTTGATTAGTATTTGTATGATGGAGATAAGTGCATTCGTTTCATATATCTTGAACAAAAATTTGTTTAATATGTTTCTCCTCAACTCAAATTTGTAATTGTTTTCAATTGTATTATTTTGAATGAACAAGCTGCTCAATGTTTGCAATATGATGGTCAAATGGCCTTCTCTATCTTAATTGCTGAGGTGTTTAACTATAAATGGGAATTCACATTGTTTGTTTAAGCTTATTGGGGGTTCTATTTTCAAGTTTACACCATACTACCTCCATGTTTATTCAGCGCTGTTGACTTTCACGCTTTCCAATGTAAAACTATGTTCATTGATATCTTTATTTATCAATTAAAAGTTTGAAAGTTGATATTTTTGAAAAATGTGTGTTGTATTGAATCAAACAAGATCAAATATAGCTATGTTTTTCTTTCCATTTCAATCACCATCTATGGCTGAAGTTGAGTATGTGAATTGTGCAAAGATACAAAATGCATAGATTAAAAATAAGGCAGAGGGAGTACACAAGCTTCATACTGGAAAGTGGAAACTCTATATGGTGATACCTGATTGGAAAAATATAATGTATTTTATGTGAATATGGTACACTTGACAGACATATAGCATTTATCTAGACACATGCATGAAAAGAGATATAATCATATGAGTGCACATATGCGGCACACAATGTTTGTGATACCTTCCAAGAGCCAGGATTTATAATTTTTATCAATACCCCAATTTAATTGCAGAGTGAAGAGAATCAAGATGTCTTCAAATCCTGGTACCCGCCCTTGGAAAAAACTCTCTCACTGCTGTCAAAGCTTTATCGATGTTTAGAACCAGGCGTTTTCACTGGTCTAGCTCAGGTATTTAGTGACCAGGCAACAAAGTATACCTTTCTTTTATTTAAGATTTATAGATGTAGGCATGTAGCCTTGTAAATTTGCTAGCCAACTCACAAAATTTATCTTTTTTCAGGAAACAGTGGAAGTCTGCTCCTTGTCCATTCAAGTAAGTGCCTTTATCCAGATGACATACTCTAGAAAGTCTTACTGATATTTTGTGAGCCTGAGAGATTGACATCTATGTTTGTAGGTAAAGTTTGATGTAGTATATTGAATTTCCTGATGAGCGTGTGGTCTTTACTTATTTTAAAATATGTATACTACAGAAAGCAAGTAAACTCATATCACAGAGGTCGTCACCAATGGATGGGCAACTTTTTTTGATAAAGCATCTTCTAATTTTAAGAGAGCAGGTTGAACTATTGTCTTCTGTATTTGGTTGGTAACTAGTCTTGGTATGTGCAGTAAATAGTGACTAACTTCGAATTGTATTGCTGCAGATTGCGCCTTTTGATATTGAATTTTCAGTCACACATAAGGAGCTTGATTTTTCTCATTTGCTGGTTAGTTGGCTGATACTTTCAGATTTTAAAAAAAACTATATTTTTTCTGGAGGGATTTCTTTTTTCTTTTTTTTTTTTTTGGGGGGGGGGGGGGGGTGGGGTGTTCTAAGGAAGGTCAAATTTAGAGCTGATTTTTATCAAATCTTGGTTACCACTCCCAAGTCATTGCCAACTAAGCTAGCTCAAAATCATTATATTGACCGTCTTTTTGTTGGCAGACTATTGCTTTGATCACTGGTTAATTTGAATTTTGAAAGCAATGAGTTGTAACTTTTTGAAGTTTAAACTTGGGAACAATCTTGTTACTTTTGATTCTTGAACTCCTATGTGTACCAATTTCAAATGACATATGCCAGTCATCTTCTATATTCAAATTATCTTTTTATATGATGCTGTGATAGTTATTACAATATTGAGAATGAAAGAGGTTTGTGAGTCTATTATTTGTCAAACAGAAGGCTGCAAATAGAATAATGCTGTCCATTTTGATGTCAGGACCATCTTCGACGACTTCTCGGAGGGCAAGCCTCTCTGTTTGATTGGTCAAGATCATCATCTTTGGCTAGAACTTTTTCTCCTCGGGTTCTGGAAAGTCAAGTAGATGCTAAGAAGGTATGTGATATCAATTCCTTGGCCTTGATTGATTATCCATCTACACGTTGTCTTATTGCTTATATGTGGAGCTGGCTATGAAATTTGGCATACATATTGTGAAATGATAATACTAACCGTCCACTCCCAGAATGATAACAGGAATGTAATCTTACACCTAACTATTCAACTGTAGTCGGGAGCTTGTTTTGGTATTTGCAATGGAAAAATTTAGGCAAAGGTTTAAGAAATTTAGAGTAGATATTGTTACATTCAAAGGAGTAGTTAAATATTACAATTAGTCTTAGAAGTAGCAACTGCAGCAACAGAGGTCTCTGTGTGTAATGAAGAGAGAATACTATTTTTCGGGATAGTTACTGATTCGATTATTTCAAAGTTTGCCATGGATTAATTTTATTAACAATATTTGGACTACAACTTAGCAAGGATATTGCTACTAGTTTCTTTTTCTTGCTAGGCATGACCATTGTTTAACCACTTGATTAGTTTGTCCTGGTTGGGGGAGGGGGTTTTGGTTGAGCTTAATTTTTGTGCCTTTTTTTTAAATTTTTTTTTTTTTTTTTATTTTTTTATTTTTTTATTTTATCATTTTCTAGTTAATGTTAAACCTTATACTCCCTCCGTCCCTAAAAGAATGACCCTTATGGCCTAAATCTAGCCCCAAAATGATCATCCCATTTGCATTAAAATACTCTTCAAATTGCAACTATATTTGTGCAAAGTTAGCTTTTCCATGTAAATTTTGCTTTTCTATGTAATTTTATTACTTTCTCTCTTTACTTTTTTGCAAACCCTATGTGAATTACATTTTCCAATGTACTTTTACTACTATCTTTTTCACTTTCTTAATACCTGTGAATTTTGCCCATAAGTGTCATTCACTCATTCTTTTAGGGACGGAGGGAGTAGTACACTAGTATATGGATATGTAATTACTCTAACACATCATAATTGGGACAATCTTCTCACAGGATTTGGAGAAAATTCTTAAAGCCACTTGTGAAGAATTTATAATGTCGGTGACAAAGCTTATAGTGGATCCATTGCTTTCATTTGTGGCCAAGGTTTGTCTTGGAATTCATGAGCTTTATATATGCTTCTCTTATTTGCCAGTGGAAACTTCTCGCCGCCCTCGTTTCAAATATGCTACAGACCAGCAGGGACTGGAAGAAGAGTAAGTTTATAATTTTATATCAACTTTTAGAACTTTGCCTTCTCTTTGTAGGTCACAGCTGTGAAAGCCACAATATCTTCAGGCAGTCAAAATCAAAAACTCGAGACTGTCAGGGCAAAACCTCTTAAGGAGCAAGCTTTTGCAACTCCAGAGAAGGTGTCTGAATTACTTCAGAAGGTAGTTTGGTGCTCTCTCTCTCTCTCTCTCTCTCTCTCTCTCTCTCTCTCTCTCTCTCTCTCTCTCTCTCTCTCTCTCTCTCTCTCTCTCCACATGGGTTTCTGTTCTTCTGTTGCTGCTTTCTTGTGTAGTGCAGATGCTAGAGCTTTTAAATTGGTTTTGGGCCTGTAATAATAAAACTACTTATCTTGATTAATAGTCACAGAGAGAGAGCCCCATATATGTCACAGAGAGAGCCACATATATGCTGTATCCTTCTTCACTCAAACTTCTACCTATACCGCTACCCAAAAACTCGAATTCCTAGCTATATCTGTATTCAAGAGGGTAATGACTTAATTACCTAATCATAGGTATTACTGGTTGCCACTTGGGTAATAATTTGATTACCTAATCATATGCAGGTTACCTCTACAATACAGCAAGAGCTACCAAGTGTGATAGGGAAGATGAAGTTGTATCTCCTGAATCCATCAACAAGGACAATATTATTCAAGCCAATAAAGTAAGATTTTTTATGTGTTTTTTTTCTTACCTTTTCCATTCTACCTGCAAGGAACCTGCTAATAAAGAAATCTGTGTTTCAACAAAAAAAGAAAATATTCCAAAAAAAAATAAAAAAAAAATAAAAGGAAAAACCTGTGAATCCTGTAAACATGCAGTTTGCTGTTATTTTATACTTTTTGTCAGTTTTGCATTCTTCATATGAAAAATCCTTTATGTAAAGATGTGAGCCAATTACGTGCGACTTCCTATTCCCAAATTGGGTGGGAGCCTCTTGCATTGGGTTTTCCAATCTACTCTTGATAATCGTTCTGTCTTGTGAGTGTTCCCTGCTTCTTCAGGAGTGAAAGATTTGTGTCTCCTACTGACTGTATTTTTCTGTTCTAGACAACGAATTGATTATTTTCTACAAATGACTCTTATGTAGGACAAATATTTTGGAAGCTCATACCCAAGTGCAATCACTTGTAAAATCAGAATACTCAGCAGAAGAGATAGAGAGCATCAATGTGATATCTATAGAGGATTTACTGGCGCAACTTGATAGCCTACTCTAGATTTGGCAGAAGCACGTATGAAGCAAAGCCATTTACTTCAAGTGTTAGGAATTGTTCATATTAAATCTATACAAGAAACTATATTCACAAGAGTGATGATTCATTTGCTCAGAGATAGTATACGTATTTAGAATTCAACTATAGGTTTGTAGATGTTTTTAACTTCTCATGATATGTTTTTCCTTTGTATTATTCATTAGTTATACCAACAACACAATTTTCGCAAGCCCCAAATTCTTTTTATTGGATCTTAAGTTTCATTGTACGAGTAATTTTTTTTTAAAGAAGTGTTCATTGTAATTAATTTTGAATAACCAATTTTGAAAAGCCAAACAATCAGCTGAACTTAAGCTCAATTTTGCTTTCTATTGTTTACTACATCTAATCATCTAGACTTGCTAATCACTTAGCATAAGAGCGAATAATACTAGAATGTTGTGAGTCCACATTGTTGGTTAGTTAGCAAATTTTGTAGGTAATCACTTTAGAATAACATGTACTTTTGTAACAAACTCATAATCAGAACAAAATATACTAGTATGTGAAAGTGGCTGATAAGCTACTTATTATATATATATATATATATATATATATATATATATATATATATATATATATATATATATATATATATATATATATATATATATATATATATATATATATATATACGGGGAGGTTCCGCTAAAAACAGAGCTTATGGTGAAAACTAAAAACAAGCAATCTTAGCCATTCATTACTAGCACAAAAGATCAGACGGTTCTAAAGCCCTAAGATCATTCCAACCTTACATATAATCAATTCAACTGTTTTAAAGGTTTTTTTTTTTTTTTTTTTTTTTTTTTTTTTTTTTTTTGACAAACGCAACGTTTTAAAGGTCACTACATGCTAAAATAAGGTAACTTTATCTAAATTGACGATATTTACATAAAGTCACTATATATAAAAATAACGTAACTATATACAAAAATAGGATAGCTATATAAATTTTGATCATATTTACATAAAGGTCACTATATACAAAAATAAGATAACTATATCAATTTTTAGAATATTTACTTAGAGGTCACTATATACAAAAATAGGGTAACTATATCAATTTTGAGCATATTTACATAAAGGTCACTATATACAAAAATAAGGTAACTATATCAATTTTGACCACATTTATACAGAGGCCACTATATATAAAAATAACGAAGGTCACTATATATAAAAATAAGGTAATTATATAAATTTTGACAACATTGACCATATTTATATAGATGTCACTATTTACAAAAGTAAGGTAACTATCATCAGATAACTTCTCCTTCTCCGGCCTCCTTGTCATCAGATAACTTCTCCTGCTGCTCCTTATCATAAGATAATTTCTGCTGCTCCTCCTTGTCACCACCAAAGGAGTAGTCCACTGGCTCCAAACCCGACAGTCAAAGCTCATCAAACGGACAAACTTTCCTGCTTCACAGTCAGTCATCACCTGTTAGATAGCAGCCAGATTTTGGTAACATTGTAATAGTACCCTCCCTGCCACAGAACTTGCACTGAAATAATGAAAGGGTGATTGATTAGCAACAAGCCAAAAACACAATGTAACTATCACCATTACCAATGTAAGAAAATCCAAAATTTAGAAGGCAATAAAACACAAAAAGCAACAGAATTTTAATAGCTGGAATGGAACAAAGTTAACAGCTCACAGAAAATTTATACATTGTAATATAATTCAGGCATCAAATGTCAATTAAGTGTAAACCAGAAAAATGCAGAAATGCAACACGTGATTCATACATATCAAAGCATCAAACACATTCTATAAGCTGCTGGACATTATTCAAGGCTTAGTCAATACAGATATAACAACAACGTAAGCCATATATCACTTGAACGGACACACTATTATTGAAAAAGATGGAATCAGTACAGCAAATGACTGAACAATAGATAAAAAAAAAGAATTCTAAGAGCCAGAGCAGAAGTACTAGTACAACATCAATACACTATCATAAACCATTCCCCAAGTGCCAATACAAGGCCATCAATTGACATCCGGAAGAAACATATTAAACAAGTCCTAATTCCTAAGCAAATAATCCTAAGATAACAGAATTGCAGAAATTTCATACCAAACTTAAACGCTATATCATGTTGAACAGTTCAATAAATCAGACAGGTATCAAAACAACGAGGAGAAATTTCCAGTTTGCAACCCTGGTGTTCATAATCTTTAAAACATGTTCAATACTCCTGTAATGGATGAAGAAGCTTAAGGGGTATTCAACTCGCTTCTAGCAAATTGGCAAGGCTTCTAATGGAGCTTCTGCCATTAGTTCTAAACATATACTCCTATGACTAAGAAAATAAAAAGATGTACTCCTATGATTTTCTAATTTACTCAAACCTAATTTACTCATTAGAAGATTAATTTTAGACCTAAGTAACACCTCAAATGTTGACAGTCAAATTACAAATTCAATAGAAATGAATAATTCAACTCTCGCAAAATTCAAGCAAACATGCTTTTCGGTCAAAATTAATCGACAAAATTAAAATATAAACAAAGACAATACAATATTCTGATGCACCAACATTTTTCATCATATGTACAATGGAAAAATTCAAATAAACATTAAAAAAATTCATCAATTATCAAAATTCAAATCGTTAAGCTAAAAAAATAACGGAAAAACACACTCACTCTTCCATAAGCGTTCTTCTCGAGGTCATTAGCAAGCAGATCAGCAATGTCTTTCCTCAAAAACTTCTCCGTCGCATTTCATTCGTCGGACAACTTTGATTCGAGTTCTCGTCTGCTTAATCAACGATTTACTGCAATTTCAATCCAAAAAAAAACAAAACTCAAAATCAATGAAATGAATCAAAATCTAGCAAAAACGAGTTAAATTTGGTTGAAAAAGTGAAACAAAAATTACGAAATTAAGTACTCAAATCAAGCAAAATAACGAAATTAACACAAATAACTTACTTGATAATAGATTGTAGAGCTAAGAAATTGCTGAAAATCAAAGTAATTGAAGCTAGATTTGAATTAGTAGCATGAAATTGGTAAAAGAATTGGAAAAGTAGGAGAGAGAAAGTAGCAGAGAGAAAGTAGGAGAGAGAAAATAGAGGAGGAAAAAGTTACGTGCAAATGAAGGAGGAGAGAGAAATTGCTATCATTTTGCTTTAATTTGGGGGAAAAATCTGAACCGTTAGATGAGGGGTGAGTAATAGATCATAATCTAGGGTAGAGATTGCATGTTTTCAGTTTTCAGTTTTAATCTTGTTTTCACGTGATCCACACTCTATATATATATATATATATATATATATATATATATATATATATATATATATATATATATATATATATATATTATTTTATTTTTTTTCTGAGGGAAGATGATGTATAAATCTTAGCTAATTAACTAAACAACAATACAAATAATAACGGTAGATATAACACAATACAAATGCAATAATGAAAGTCGAGTACTCTCAAAACTTTGTTCGCATCTTTAAAAAAAAAATTTTGAGCAACACATATATGCGACTGATATTTATTAGTACTCTCAAAACTACACATACATATTACAGTATAAGATTTTGTTACAATATCTTAACAGGATCCAATATTTCTTACATAATATAAACACATACAAAATTCTTTAGAAAAACCATAAGCATAATAGAAATCCCTACCTTATAAAAAGTTAAAAACCCAACGCAATTAATTTAACGTGGAAGTTGTGGAATAAAAGGCAAGAGTTTTTAGGATCTTAAAATTGGTATACGCTACAAGCACATCAATGAAGTACAAAACAGAACTGGTATATAGAATAAATCAAATGACTCAAAGGGCCTTTCTTATTAACTAAGTTAATTAATAAATGTAACAAGAATAAAGTAAAGACAAAACAAGAAGTTACAACAAAAATGTTTAACAGGAGCTATACACTTATGATGTGACAAATTCAAAGACTCTGAGACTCTACAACAAATCAAGGTGAAACTACAAATTCTAGTTCTCCTCATTAACATCAAACATAGGTTCACTCGGGAGGATCGTTGGAGGAGACCATTGATCAGGTACCATAAGAAAGTAGGTTGTCATAGCTTTCCTAAACCGCTTTTTATACTGATCAGGAGAGATGACTGTTGGTTGTGCATTCTTCGGACCACCAAGGATTCCTGAGGCCTTCACCCAAGTCTCAAGGTGCTTGTCCCATGTATATTGCCTCATGAAATCAATAATACCAACTACCAGTTCCTGTTTTTCTTCGTCAATACCAACCAATAATGAATAATCCATCACATCAATCGACTGCAGAAAAATAGACATAAAAATAGTCAGAAGACAGGCAACAGCAATAAAACTTCCCAAAAGCTAGATCCAACACAAGCACTGAATACAAGGTCCAGTTTCAGATACATGATTTAAATTCAGAACACTATGAAACTAAAATTTTCCCAAAAACAAGTAATTGTAAGTTCTCACCAACAGCTTCTAATTAAGTACTTTCAAAACGACATTAATTTTTGAATTTGAAAACTACGACTTGGTGGGTCTCTGTAACAGATTACTTCACAGAATTATGTAATAAAACACGTTTAGTAATAAAGACGCAATTTTTATGAAGGAAGAAGGCAGTTGATTGATTGATTAGAGCAAATAAGGATGAAAGTTTGAACAAATAGTGACTTCAGGCCACCACTCTCTAGGGAGTACCTTGAGGGTACAACTCTCCTTAACCTAGAATTTACCAAATGACTGCCTAACAACACACTCCCCTTCCCCTTTCTTATATTTACATGACTAGCCAAAAGACAGAAGAGACAAAATGGTATTTTGCAGCTGTCACATTCTCAGAGGTGATGCTACACTGCTCACTGATTGGCAGGTAGATTTGGTGGCTTTCCCTGCTGTGCTTGTGGCTGCTGCATTTGCTGTATTTGTTGTGCATGTGTCAGCCCTCTTTTGCCCTTGCGTTGGTATGTAATCCAGCCCTTTTGCTTGGTCGTTACAGTCTCAACTCCCTTCCTGAACCGTCTAGTATAGAATCTATCAATACAAAGGAATTAATCCTGTCCCAGCAGCTAACCTTGACTGCTAGATGTCAAACTTCATCCCCATATTGACATGACCAATGACAACAATCTAAAGTCATTAAATAATATTCCCTTGTCTTCTTCCTCCCCCTCACTCTTCATCTTTACAAAACCACCCTTCCCCATGTTTCGACTCTCTTCATCTTTATCCATCTCTCCTTCCCAATTAATATTAGTAATAAGATCTTTACCTCTTTTTATTTTTCCCTCACTTGATTGTTAGAATTTATCGATAAACCTAAAGCCAATAAAATCCCAAAATCAATTGTTCTCTCTTCCTTTTCCCCTCTTCTTGATAATGCTATATCACTCTTCTCATTTCCAAATCATCATTGATCAACTAGCCTACAAAGCTACCCTAGCTAACTTAGGATGGGTCAAGCATGCTATTTCTGGTCCCATCAGTATAGATAAAATTCAGAATCAAGGGATGAAACTCTTTTTGACAATCTATAACAAAAGGTCTCTCCCCTGAAATGCATGCAATTCATTAAATCTATAGGAGGAGAGGTAAAATTCACATAATTTTCAAACAATCTCAGCACACCAAAAGTGCCTAATAGTACAGGCTTACCGCTAAAAATGATGTGTCATTCCAAACAGCTCGTTCAAGCAGCCTTTTTGCCTTGTTCCCTACAAAAATTGGAGAAGTAGGCATTGTCTCGATCAAGTTCTGATCAAGTAAAACTTTGTTTCCACCAGTTGAATCTGGATTGTATCGTGATCTACAAGAACCTTTTAAATCATAAAGTCGTACAACATTACGCCGGAATAAAAGATTCTCCATTACTAAAACGTCCATCTTGAACTCCTTCCCTCCTTTAATATGCTTGGATGTAACCTTTAAGATACACACCAAAGAACGGAGAAAATTAAATTTGCAGTCAATAATTCCACAAGAAAAAAAAAAAAAAAAAAAAAAAAAAAAAAAAAAAAAACAAACAAACAAAACAAAACAAAACAAAAAAACAAAAAAAAAACATTGAATTTCTCATCCAATCTTGTGGTCTTTTGTGTATCTTAGGAGGCAGGGGCATTAAGATAAGAAAGGAACCAAGTAGAGCAGAAAGAAGAAAAAATACTGCTTGGATCAACCGTCAAATTTAACAAAAAATCAATGAATTGGTCATATGAGGGGAGCATGCAATTAAGACAAGGACAATTAATGAAGTGGGGAATGAATTTGGCGAATGTAACAGCATTAACACAAACTCCAAATCACATGAGAAAATCAAAATTACTCTGTAACTAAAAAACACAGCTTAGTATGATGTATATATAATACCTGATAAATGCCAAGGATCTTTGCCAGACAGGTAGGGCTGCAACTTTCGATTGACTCAGACAAATATTTAAAATAAGCTGGTGCAAACTTGATAAACGATTCCAACTCTGTCTTCGTAACTTGTTTGATTATAAATCGATCATCTAAACTCTTTGCGAAAAAGACATTGCTCTTTCCACCTTGAGCGCCCCATTTCTTACAACGGCTAAGAGACCTGATGAAATCCATCTCAGAAGGGCAACAAATCTTTCTCAATGCCTCAAATCGTTTTGCATAATAGCAAGTGACAGTGTATTTTACTTTGCCAAGAGGGCCATTATCTGAAAATGAAACTCTAGCATGCAAAGCCTTGGTATAGAATAATGGATCCAAGATGAGAGAGTTTCTTGATCCAGACATTGACAAAAGGCTTTCTTCAGAAGATCCAAAACTTTTCATTGACCCAGAAACCGCTTCAAATGGATGGAGGGAAAGGGAACTCGCTAGGCTGGTCAAAGAAATTGCAGAGTCAATCCCATCCTTTTTCATGTCAGGGTCATCAGAAATCTGAGTTTTATAATCTGGTGATACAAGCGCATATGCTATGATACTAGTTGGTTCATCATCATAAACAGGTATAACAGTATGATCAACACCCACAGGAAGCAGAAGTCTGGCACCACCTAGACGTTTCAATTCACGAAATGAGGAAACAAAAACTGGGTTATAGTCCCCTAATGCATCAAGCTTTTGAGCATTCCATGCAGTATATTGATATATGTTCATAAAGGGCATCTTTAACCAATCAGTGGAGCTTTCCAAAAAGTCAGAACTCATGGGAGGCAAAGCAATGCCAGTAGCATGATGAATCTCCGTCTCATCTCGGGCATCATTGTGCTTCTCTGAATTGGGACTTGCTGCAACTGATCTGACTGAGCTCGACGTATCTATTGCATCATTCTCCTTGGGGTTGGCACTTCCTGAGAGAATTTCACCAATCCATGCCGCATCAAGAGTATCAGATAAATTCACCCCAATAGGGAATTGTCCAGCTGAAATTCTCTGAACTGCATTTACAGAGTTAGCTGGATCTGCTTCACCCATTTTGATCCCATGGAGATCTTCCTTGCACATCATTTTATTAAATTCTTTGATGTTAACACCTTGGCTAAGATCTGTTCCAATTTTTCCATCTAAAATCACAGAACCACAATTGCCCACTTCTCTAGCTACTTCACCACCGGCATTTGTACTAGTCTTTTCAACATAATTGCAGGTTTCCTCCATGGATTTCAGTATAGGACTATCAGATCCATAATGAGTTATCTTTGCATCTAAACTAGATGCAAAGATTAAGCGCTGGTCCCATACATAAGATTGGATTAATAAATGCAGCCTCAATCTGTTGATTTCTAGGATGTCAATTCCATCTTGTCTTTTCGATTGCAATGCCTTTTGCAAGGACTCCTGTGAAAATTCCAAATTGGTCATTAATCACTGAATGACTTCCCTTTACGCGGTAGGCATTTCCATAAACATGCTAATTTCGAGGTCAAATAATCGGATGCACATTAAAAAGAAGAAACATGTAGAGACATACAAAAACAGGTGTAAAGTAGGAACAGAAAGTCTGAGCATTATAATTGCAGAAAGATAACTTTGTTTCTCTACAGTTAACTTCTTATACATAGACACACCCT